TAGAATAGTTCTTCCCAAGTAGATTTAAAAAACTATTAAACAACGTAACACATTGGCCATGTTGAGAAGTATCCACGTATTTAGTTTTCACTTATTATGTCACAAATTATGGCCGTGTGCAGTTCACTTAGTTGTTCTCAGTTACAGCAGTCATATTTTTGTTTAAATATACCTGTATACATCTATATTAATATTGCGACTACCTATTATTACCATTACAAGTAGATATTAAGAAACTAAAATATTTGGCTAACATTCACAACATATTTGTTGTCATTTGAATGGTGTTTTGTTAATTCGAGCTTGTTATGTTTCAAAATACTAACGGCTCTCTTACACTGACGATGAAGATAATAAAATCAAATGCTTATATTAACGAAATATAAATTGTGTCAAAAGTTACCATAGACAGATCAGACAGTTTTATTTTTAGAAGGCCTAGAAGGTTTCACAACAAATACAATTTAACTTATTTAAAATATTGACGCTTCCTATTCATAATCTGTAATATGCACGAAGAACTATGTATAGTATGTCTGTATATAACTAGATTGTAAGGTATTTAACATCAAGTTAAATTCGAGGAAGCTCAATTATAAGATTAACTTTGTTTCTTAAAATTACCGTAATATCAAAGTGTTTGAAATTTCAAAGGCAAGCGCTCGACATTCTTAAACGTAAAACAAATTAATCAGTATGAATTTTCGAAGCTAAAAGTAATAAGCCTACATTTAAAGCTAGAGACTGTGCGACTATTCCACTGTTATCGAAATTAAATTTCAGATAATTATTTGCAAAATGTTTAGCGATAATTGATGTGGTTTTTAAAGTGTAAGTTTAACTGTAGGAAAAAACCGTTTTCGGTAATAAACATCTGCGCGGCAATCTATCCCTATGCCATTTCATTTTAACATATCGAAGCCCCTGGGTCTGAATATGTTCAAAACTACTTGAAACACCCTCTCCTCACGCTATTTTAAAAAGGAAAAATAGGAGATTAGAGGCATCGTAACACATGATGCGACGCACGTGTTATAGGTTTTATGCGGATTATTGGTTATATATTTCGATTTCATGGGTGGACGGGCATAATACCATGTCTCTATTTTGTTAAACAGTGTTCCCCTATTGACGAATTCTGCAGTTTCATAATTTACTCTGGATTATTGGCTGGTCGCATATTTTCATCTCTATTAATCAGTTTTTAGAGTATGCGTAGGTATTAAAATCATTAACATAAATTTAGTTGGAAATACTAGCTCTAATTAGGACTTGACTTACTTAATTTACTATTAGCTATTTCTAAAAAGATAATTTTGCTAAAAGTAAACGTCGTTTGTTATTACATTAAATACTCTCACCCGTGATGCGTGTGTCTAAGAAAATTTTGTCGTATCCTGATTTTCATAATCATTTGTGTCAGACTTGTTACATAATAAAGTGAGAAATTAAAATTTGATCTGATTTGAATTTAAAAGCGAGTAAAGTTTGCAACTGCAAAGAAATCTATTTTATTTGTTGTCAACTTATCGACAAAACCATATCTGCTTTATTTCAGTCGGCTAGTGTTTGTCAAACAAGTTGTAAGTTCCTATGTATAATCTACCGACATTCAGGTTATGATAAGTATTATGAAATTAAAATCAGGCTTTCCATTATGTTGGAGCGCATTGACAAAGACCCTTTTTACTTAATCTCTAGTTTCTAATCCGAGTGCTCTTTAAATTTTCTGAAACGGCTCCTTTATTCTCCTCTGAAATAAAAATGCAAAGTCAAACACGAAGCTTTTCCATGGAATTAGTTATTTTCTTATCATTTGAAGCTTTGTTGTCCTGCCAGTCGAGTTTCATTTCGTCTCGCGAAATTCAAAGACGTTTCCGAACGAAGATTGACATATGATTTACATATAAATGATATAAATCCGGGCCACATTGTAAAAACTTATTAGGTTCAAAAAAGAGAGAATACGTAGATGTAAATTCAGCGTGCTTGGAATTACAATTTCGATTTTCAAAAAGTGTCTGCCTGATTTTTTAATTTATAAGAGTAATCTGCATTTCAGGCTCACAACTGAGTGAACTGACAATAGCTTTCGATAGCCAAAACAGTATAGACTTTGAAAAATTATTATTAATACTTTCGAGAGCATACTTATCGAGATAAACGATCTGTTCATAATGTGCGCTGTGTTTTAGTCAGGTCGTTACGCGGTCAAAAGTTTTCGGAAATGAGTGACTGCGTTGCTTTCTTAGCCAGTCGCATCTTTAGCCAAAAAAATCTTTCATGGATTTATAATACTTGATTTTAAACTTGTCTGTCAAGCTTTAAGATTTAAGTCATTTTAAATTGGAGGATTCATTTGATTTTCTGGCACTTATCAAATTTATCCAATTGGAAGGTCAATTTTTCAATTGAGTCAAGAAAGATCTGCTACTAACTTGCGACCCGTTTTCTTAAACGGGAAATATTTTATTCTCATTTTTTCACATTCTGGAAATTGTGCAATGGTGACTGATATCAAATTTGCATAAATAGAGATGTGGGACATACACATATATAAAACTTGTTCGGAATATAGCTTTTCCCAATGATCATACATAAAGTCAATGTGTGAATAAAATCGAAAAATATATAGCTTTTTGCTGCTCGTATTTCTGCAGCAAAATTTTATCCAAATATTTGTGTAAATTTGCACGACGTGTAAAGTAGGAGAGCTAAGGTGTTTATTTGGAAAAGGCATATACGTTATTAGTCCTCGATGTTTTTTTAAAGTCTGTTAGGTATATATTCCTAATCAAGCGTTTTGACTATTTCCTGACTGTGTATGTTTACCAGATATTTCAAACAGATAATAAACGTTTTGAATGCTTCCTTCAGGTTGTTTTTCGGTTTTCGGGTGTTGTTATAACTAACTAACCCAAACTGTTTTAGGGGAGTACGAGAAAAATATTGAAACATTTTTTTTCGAAAATTTCTAGAAGATATTAACAGTTGAAGATCGAATTTCAACTTTGTTATAAAGCATTATTTTGAAATTGTTGTGAATACTTAAGCATTCAAAAAGAAAAATTACAATCTTTGCTTCAAATTACGAAAAATGTTTCTATCAAAAAAGTTCTCTTCTACATTTTTTTGATGAAAAGTCACAGCGGCAATGATGTTTTTTGTCATTAACAGATAGTTACAGGTGGATAGCCCTTGTCAATAATAACAATAATTTCTCAAACTGTGACACTTTGAATTTTCTTTCACAAATTTGCTGATATGCGATTAGTTCAGGGGAACTGCTACAGTAACATAGCAGAAACTGAAAGAACTCACGCCTACAAAGAGCGAGGAGAGTGGTTCCAGGAAGATAATGGACGGCAATAGATGTTCGAGTTCCAGGCACAGAGGAATAAGTATTAGACTTAATCGAATCAGGGCCTTCCAGGGGCACTCAGAGCACAATAACTGACACTTTCCCAAGCACCAAATAAATACCGAGGATGAGTTACATTCCTACCACGTTTGTACGATACACGCAGCACAAGGAGATACAACGGGAGCAGGAGTTAATTAACTGAATACGAGAAGCTGCTTAATAATAGTGGATAATAGTGATATTAGACAGGCACTAGCTTCTTTGGAGTTAACCATTCAAATGTTTGGTGTTGTATGGTTGATTTGTAAACACCAATATTCGAGGTTATGAGAACAGGTTGAACAGAAATAGGTTCCGTCATTCAACGGCTCCTGTTGAATTTACCGTTTATCCTTGTCTATCTTACTGTCACTCTGTATAATTCGATGGTTACCGGACTTTTAAATAATTACGAAGCAACAGGTATTTGCGCAATGTTAATTAGGCAGATTACCTTGAAAAACATTGCTGCTGGATTTCTGATATAGCTTTTTGTAAGTTTCTCAGTTTTTAATAACAATTAATTTCTTTTACTATTTTTGCTGTACTCCTATAACAACGCCAGACAACAGCTCCTGAGGAATGACGCCAATTTTGAATCATTTTGTATGTATGCCACTATAGCGAACTCTAGAATAGAGCTTCCGATCACACAGAAAAGATAATAACGAGAATGAGATCCCAGCCAGATCAACATTTATAAATATAGCAAAATTATTTACTATCCATGATATTAACATGGGATTTAGAATGAGAATGCCGCGGTGTTACCCTTTTCCGCTCTTTTATGTGGAGTTTAAGCATGTACTGTGAAGAAAAATCACATGCCTTCGAACCGTGGTGTTACCGTAGAATGTGGAGTATCCCCTGGGGGCATATGGTTACTAATACCGAAGTCCTAAATCGAATGCAACAGGAATGCGAAATCATTCACACCATAAGAAAGATAACGCCTTAATACCTAGCTCATATAAGGACCGGCAAGAAAAAAAACATTTCTTTAACTGACTGTTGAACACTGGCAGACGCCGTCTGTTGTGGCCTAGAAACCTAAAAGACTGATTCCATATGCAATCAACACAGTCCGATCGTGATGGTCGCAAATATTCGATAGGAGATGCACTGCAAGAAGCACATTTTGATTGTGAACAAATTGTAATAAAAAACTCTGTTAAGCTAATTTTTTGAGCACATTTAAAACTGCAACATGTAATAAAGATAAATTTATTGGGAATGCAGTTTCGCAAAGTTCGACGATCCCTGACTCCTATAAGCAACATGTTGCGATTAAAGGAGCAAACATTTATCAGGAAAATTTCCGTTACAACCAACGTCACTTTCGATGTGCTTTTCGTTTGCACGCAAATCCAGCTGTCAATCTCCTGTAGCGAAATTCTGCAATAGCAAAAGTTTCTGCAAAATAAAATCCTGGAGCGACTGGGTCTGCGTTTGAAGTATCGCTCGTCGCCGTAGTCCGGTGAGGCGGCAGGTGAGGCGACGGGACAGATACGACATAGGGGTGAGTCTGGGGGATGAAAATTGGGACGCAGGCGCAACCCTATGACGTTCGCACCCCCAACTCGCACCGCCGTTGTTCCGCATCAACCCCACTTCGCTGCAAACTGTTGAACGAAGCGTGCGTGTTCGATCTCCTACATATTATTCCTGCCTCAACGTAAATACCCCATTATAAGGATACTGTTCTGGATTGATCCGCAATCGCGGGACTTTTTCCAAATCGCCGTTCTTTTGACATTTCACAGTGCATAACAATTTCGGGACGCTCAGATTCAAAGCGCTAGGACACTAAAGGACATCGGACTCTTTGAAGTGCGCGTTGCGCTCGATATCGCGACAAAGATGTGATGTGTTTTGTATGTGTCTTTTTTTCGCGTGACATTTCCTTCAAATTGAATTAGTCCTCACTATGGACGGGTACTATTCCTCAAATCAGCGACCCCCTCCATTGCCTCGTCGAGTGCGAAACGAGTATGCTGAACCGTTCGTACATGAATCCAGGTATAGCATTTTGATCTGGTATTATTGAAAATATCCCCATCAAACCACGAATTTGGTCTATCAGATTGTTTTTGTAAATTTGCATTCATCTTTTTCGTGGTAAAGACTGTGTCCGCAGTTTCCTAAAAAATCGATGCTGACATTTCAGGAGGGCCCTATTTTGTTTATTTTGAAGGCGTCAACTTAAAAACAACTGATTCCACATAATAAAATACGATGAATTGTCTACAAAGGAATGCAACAAACATTTTTCAATTTAATTTATTCTAAATTGTTTTAAATCCTCTCTCTACATTATTTAAAAAAGTTTGATTAGAAACACACATATAAAATATTTAATTGAATAATGCTGTCTAATCTATAACCAAGTAAGTGAATTATGAATTAATACTGAACTTTATTGGATTTGACAATATAGAAGAAAGGATTGCCATGGATAATGACGAATCCTCTTATATCTACTTGCTACTGCCCATAGATGTTCTGTGTATTTTGATTAAGGTATAATGATTACCGTAAATATGTGATTTGTCTGCAAGCGCAATAACTTCTGTGAAAGTTTATTTGATATTTCACTTACTGAGAGCAGTATTTTATATTTTTGTCCATATCCGTTGAGAGTAATTTAATCATCAGTATTCTTAAATGTAATATTTTAGTGTTAGCGCATTTTAATCGGCAAACAATAAGTAATATAGACATGTAGCAATTGAAATAACCAAGATTTGGTATGCTAAAGTTAAAAAGCTGAAACAATTTAGATATTGGCATCCAAATGGAGATTTGTTGATTTCGTAATTGCCTGCATTTGTTCTCATTATCATCGGAAACATATATTTTTCCGAAATATAGCTATTCCGCAAAACTATTTAAGACTTTGAAAGCTGAAAAACGTTCAAAATGCATGTTGCTTAAGCAAGCTGTCTTTAAAGACAGGAGAATAACGAAACAGTTGCCTCAAACAGAAACAGTTGTCGGTCTGGTTTAATTCCACTCATATTCTTAAGATGGATCCATTTAAATTTGTTTCCCAAAGTGGGTTGATTGTGACTGATCACTTGCTGTTCCTGTTGTTCCGACTATTTTCCAAGCAGTTCAACCGATATATTCAACAGAGATTTGTTTTATATGCGGTTTTCTATTTAAAGATACGAACATTAAAGCTGAATTTACAATAGTCGTCTGTAGGCACGACATTTTATAAGACACTTAGAAATACAAGTTTTATCACATTCATGCAGCGTAATTTAAAACATTAAAAAAACAAATTTATTGTAAAATGCATTAAATTAAAAATATTTGTTAAAAGTAAGCCTTTATTTTATGGATGTCCGACAAGAATACCTTTTTTGAGTTTGAAATTCAGGTTACCCAAACTTTTGCTTTGGGTGATAAGATATGTATACAGGGTGTCCAGAATAGGTGCGACCAACACTTATAGAGGCAAATCTACAGCGAAAATGTGTGTGGGAAGTTCCTAAAACACCTTTGCGAAAGCGCAATAATAACGGATATACAGGGTGCTAAAATTAGACTTTAAAAGTTATTGGTTGAAATTTGTTGCACTTATTATCTTGATCTTTCGTATTTTTGTTCAAAAGTTGATATTTATCCGTTAGTGCTAAGAGGTTTAACTCACCCATGTAATCTAATTAATAATCTAAACTTTTTTTATTTCCCGCTTTTTGTTGTGTATGATTTCTCAAAATTAAAGGACGTTCAGAATTTCATAATAAAAGTTTACTTGTCAGGTTTCTCTAAATGATCCGTTTTCGAGGAAAATCTACTTTTAAAACTGAAGAAGCAAGCGGCTTGTTCTTGCGAAACCTCAGGATAAAATAATTTTTGAGAAATGCCTAAACGTTCGAAAACAGAAAAAGTTTTGATAGGTACTTGTACTATTTAATTGTTACTTTATGTACAAGGATAAATATTTGCTAATTTGGTAGCGACTAACTTCGCCTTACAACTCTGATTAGTGCAAATATTTGGTATTTTTCGTACAGTAATGCCAATTTATCGATTTTTTTCCATTTGATTCATCAAATATTAGCAGCTTTATGGCTTCTTATTAATTTAAAAAAAAATCCCAAAGTTAGAAAATTTGCTAACTGCGTTTTTCCCATTTAAGTGTGGAAGTTACAGTCAGTGGTAAATAAAACACTGTTATTTTTATTCTGCTATCCAACCATGTGGATAACCGAAGTATAAGGTTAATATAATTCGCTGCAAGTCGCTATCCAACTTTCGCCATTATTACAATAGCTGGGGCTTGCGGTGAAATTTCAAAAAAGGAAAGCAGTTTATGAAAACCCACCTATTTATAATGCAATTGGATTCTTCTATCATTTTTCGCAAACTCGTTTAAATTGTCGTTATAGAAAATGGGATGCTGCGACATTCTCCTAACAAAATTGTTTTTAATTGCTAACAGAGAAACACTCTGTTAGCACACCCAGAGAGACGATCTTGTCCGGTCCAGTTTCGCAAGTAAGTCTTCCGTTAAGTATCCGTTTTAGCGTTGAGAAACTACGTTCTTATCAAATCGTTTCAAAATATTCTCCAAAATGACCAATCAAGGATTTTAATTGCTTTTCCGAAAAACGTGTTTCTTTAAACGGATTGAAATTACACAATGCAAGAAAGTCTATATCATAAAAATTCTGGAACCTGTTCTGTTTCAATATCTCCAACATTGTCAGTGCGTATGCGTTATCTTTTTGGCTCAAAACTTCTGTCTATCATATTATTCCAGCATTTTTCAAAGTCATTTTTCTTTTTATTAATAGAATTTTTAAATTCAATAATTTTAATTCGGCTTGATTTGCATTACCTGATTTACTTGATTGAGACGAAACTAAGCTTAATTTGAGGGCTCAGCAGTGTATAACTATCGCACTGAGATATGTTTCTCGCACTTTCACTTTAATAGAGATCTATTCTTAATAGAGAAACATGATCTATGAAATGTCCTCTATTTCCTGATGAACTTGATTCGTCGCGACCTTTAAATCCGAGTTCATGTAGGCTAAGAAAGCACACAACGACAATAAGCCTCTTCGACACATCTCAATTTTTACCAACTAATTCATTATGATTTTGATCGCTCACTTGTAACGATTTATCCAAAAAGTGGTCAACTCAAGTTTTGCCGACAACTTTCTCTTTGATAACGGCCTGCAACTGAGCTTGAGTCATAACATATCGTTTCACTCCTTTGTGCAAATTATTTAAATCGCCAAAATCGCTTTGATTCCAAATACCGTTTTAAATGACGAAAAACAGACAAGGCCAACAAAACAGTTTATTCCTGATCTCACAACTTGTAAGCCACCCATCCTGCCCATAAGATTTTTCCGAATTGAAATGTCGCATACAAGTCTTTACTTTAGTAGTCAAGTTTTTCATTTTAGGCTTCGCTCTACCTTTATTATTATGTTCGATTTTTCAATAAAACTCTGAGAACTGAACCATTTACACAACTGTACAGTCTTAACACTTAACTCATCACTTTTCGAAAAATCAGTTGAAGAAGATGCCATTGCGTCTATTCAAGTTTAAAAAAATCTCCGGCTGCCGAAAAATTGCCGGGACAATCGCCAGATGATTGCGTATTTAATCCAAACAACTGCTTATTCAGCTGTTAAGGGCTCGCAACTTGACCTGCAGATTTTTTCATTTCACCCTGAAAATCTCATGTGTAAACCGAGAAACAGTTTGAAATTTTGCATATCGAAGCTCGGGTTGGTTTGGATGGATCAAGACTCGTGATGCGCCTTCGCTCCGCTGCAGGCTGTATGGATTATGAACGGTATGACAAAAAGCCATATGTCATCTTTCCTTAATGCTCTCGAAGTTGCAGGAGTCATCGTATACATTGTTTCGTCTTTCTCGTATTTAACTTCAAATGCTGCTTACGACCCTTGAAAAGATTGAGACGCATTGCCATGCCTATTTTATTATGGAGCCTCGACCATTTTAGTTAGGACCTTGCGGATTATTACGAAATGAACAAGATTCAATCACTTGAAGTACATTATGAAGTAAGCTGGTTTTCTGAATTGGCGAATTTTCAATCACCTCAATGCGTTGGTGAACGGTGTGTTGGACGTCTTGCTAGTGCCTGCTATTAAGTCAATAGTTTAGAAAAAGCACTTGACATCTTTAATGTGGAAAATGTATGAATACGTTTAGATAAATCGAAGTAACGGTGATGAATTATATTACCGGTTAGCGCTTATCAAAGTTGAGGTATATCATAAAGTTTCAAATTAAATTTTTCAATCTACTTAAAATATTTACACTTTATTATAAAAAAATGTATTCAAATCTCACCCGCTGTACACAATTTAATTTTTCGAAAATACTCCACATTTTATTATTGCAGTGCACTATCGTTACTAATTGCTTCTCAATGTGAAATGAGGATATTTTTGGAATTTCCCAAAAATTGAAATCTCGTTCTCGTGCAATTTCGTATTCGACCGTATACTAAATTACGTCAGATTGCCATTTATTGTTCAACCTTTGGAAGTAAGTGTGAGTGTTACATTTGTCTAATTCTAAACCTAAGTACATTTATTGAAAAGTACTTGGAAAAGATTTCGGTCATGTGATTTGATGTTGGATATTAAATCACAGGGTACAGGAAAGTACCAGCCGAGTATCGTTAGACGAGAAACGTTTCTGATTTCAATCTAAAAAATAAAATCATCTTCTGTTTGCTGTTTCCTTATACCTTTCATTTTAATTTAAACGCATTCGGTAATCTGTGAGGGAATACTGAGGCAAATAAAATATGACTGTATAGTTTACACTTAACTAAACTTTAAAAAAATTAGCTGAAAAAGTTAAAAGCATTTGTTGTGCAACTGTTGACGTCTAATTAAACAGCTCAATAAATATACACTTCGTTCGTACTAATATCTAAAAATTAATGTTCCAAATACACTGGCTATTATTAATTCATTTTTCACAGCCTATTTCGTCGAATTTCAATT